GCTGCAATTTTCGAAACAATTTCACTTTTTGGTGCCAATTTGGTTTGCGCTTTCTCACGTCTCGACATGTCAGAAAAGTCAGCTGTTCTGCTTCACTAACATCGCACTGTACTACTGTTTCACAACATCCATTTTCCCCCGAGCGACCTTAAAAAATTTTTGTTGGCGCTATACTATACTTATTTTGCAGATCAATCGCGCGCCCAAAAAAGGGGTAAAAATATGCTTGGCGCACAATATTGTAGCATAGTGATCGGAAAGTCAATTTTGGCGGCCTGAAAATTTTCGAGTGTTTGCTAAGTATCTGCTGTTATAAAAATGAAAAAAATATATATTTCCAAAAACTTCGGAAAAGTTTAACTGAAACTATCACGCGTCGAAAACATCGTTCATTAAATGAACCCCCCTTTTCAAAACAGGCAAGTGACACCAAATGCTCAGTTTGAAAACTTCAAGCAGATCTTCACACCGTAAGCAGGACGATATGCCCTACCCCGATCTAGCCTAAGCCATTCTACCCTATGTACAAATCTACCCTTTGCCAATCTACCCTAAACCAATCTATCCTACGCTTAAAAACCTCACCTTTTTAACTTTTATCACATTTAGTATTGGGACACAAATACAGGATTAAATTATTTGAATCATGTCAGGTAGACTCAAATTTAGTCTCAATAATAAGAGATTCGGTTAAAACTTTTGACCATTTGGTACACTTCACATGTTCATTTCCCAATTTTCGCTATAAAACATGAAAAAATTCGAGATCACTTATTTGGAGGCCCTTGACTTCTACATTTGCAAAAAAATGCTATCTGGATTCTCAAGTTTTTTAGTAGTATGTCAACGGCCGTCAAAAAATTTTTTTTAGGGTTCGTATATAATTTGCTTTTGCAAAGGAAGTCACCCCGGAAAATTAGTTGCAAAAAACAGCCGTCAGCTATTTTTACAAACCGTCATTCATAAATTAAAATGGGTTCATATCAAGATTGTAGAAGCATGAAATGTTTTATAAAACACAATAACTTAATACACAATGCCCACGGCGGTAAATTGGTGCTTAGATCAGTTAGTTATTAGCTTCCAAGTCAATCTCAAACGCAACAAGAGCAGCCGATTGCTGAACAAGTAGCACAGAATGTTTTGAGCAAGTAACACAAAAAATTGAAGTGTTTAATTTAAAAAAAAAGTCAGACTAGTTCCTATCAAATCAGATAGTTTTTCAGTTTTTTTTTGGAAAGCGAATCGCGGTTGAAAGAGCAGTAATATAAATGATACCACTCTTGACTCATGAGCTTTCATCAGGTTAGTCGAAATTGCGAAAAACTATTTGCTTTTCACTTCGTGAGATGGTCGGAACAATCAGCTTATAGTTTGTCTATTGGCGCTAATAAAACACAGCTGAACCCTTGTATAATTAAACAAGAGCTTTAAATTTACTTTTAGTAGTTTGCAAAAAATTACAGTAAAGACTACGCTCCACTTGAGAAAAAGGCTTTGTATGTATTATACAACGCTCTGCTTTCCTTCCACCCTGATAACTTTTTCCATTGCATTGCATTGATGCCAACTCAAAATTGAAGAGCTTCTTAATGATACTTCAGATGTTCGGCTGACTCGACCTTTAGCTGGGACTCAGCTGCAACCACTGTACAGAGGGATGCCTTCCGCTTCGACGCATTCGCATGGTACGACACCACCACCCAGCAGCTGATACAGACCCCCATCTATGTCCAGTGTCGCGTCAGGGCTTGCCTTAATGGGGACACCCAATTCTGCGTCAGAGGTAAGAAATATTGGTAAAAACCAACTTTGATTAGAATACGAGCAAAAATCCATTACTATTGTTCCAACCACTTCTTAAGTGAGAAGGAACTATACACTAGGTATAGTTTTTTCTCATTTTTGACACACCTACAAAATACCCCTACAACCAACTCCAAATAAAACTTCAAAATTTTCAGACAAAATGACACGAAATGTACGAATGACACCATGACTGCTATTGCTAAAATTAATTTTTACTGAAAAAAAGCAAAAGTAAGCAAAAAAAATGTATGCGAAAAATTTACAAAAAAGTTTACGATTTTTCCTAAATTCAATTGTTTCAATTTCTTTAATTTCTCCAAATTTTAGGAAGATAAAAAAGATATAAAATCTTACGTTGTGAGCTTCACGTAGTAAAAAACTGTAGTCGGTGAAAGGGCAGAAGACCCTTCGTAAAAAATGACATTGAAAAAAAGTTTACTTGTAATCAATCTATGGTTAGATGCACGCGTTTTCGGTCAGCGCAGTTTAAGGCTTAGGAAGCGCAATGGAATATTTACGCCAGTTTGCAGAAGTTTTGATGTTTGACGTTCTACACAAGACTCAATTTTTCAGTTAGTTCGCTTTTTCGTTCGAGTAAAAAAATTGTAGTATTTCCAAAAAGATGCCATCAGAATCTAAGAGTTTTTTAGAAGCATGAGTATGATGGGATTACTCAAATTCAAGCAACTAAAGTTCGTTACTGAAAATCTTTCAATAAGACGGTTTTTTATTCTTCTACACGTAAGGATTGAATCAATGGAATTCTTTGCCCTGAAATTAACATTCGCACTTATAGATGAGCTGGAACCTGAATTGCAGATAATTAAAACCTCGAACTTTTTGGGTTACACCCGCACTATGAATGTTAAGTTGTTTTAGTCATATACTAATGTCAGAAAATTTATTGTGACAGGACGCAGTATCACATGCTAAAATATCCAAAATCACCATATCCCAATGGACAAAATAGCCCATTCCATAACTGCTCCCGTCAAATAATAATTCCCATAATTGCATCCAAATGGTTTACAAGACCCCACATATCAAAGTAATGCCCTGAGTGTTTTAACTCCGATGAAATTGTTTTTTGTTTCAAAAAATGCAAAAATTTTGAAAAAATTCTTATTTTTTAAAAATTGTTTAGTCTCTTCGCACGCTACTTCAAAGTATTATAGTTTATTTCCAGCAGCGTATTGATTACTCAAATTGTAAGAATTTAATTTGCCGCCTAATCTTCAGTAGAACGAAAATTATCGCGCATTTTTCGTCCCAGTTTGAAATGTAGTGGACTATTTGAACTATATTTGAACCGAAACTCAATACCTATAATTAACAACAATTGAGCACAGGGGAAGCTTCTTTTTAAATTTGAGCTTAAAACATCAGTATTTTTGAGATGTCTAAACAAAATTGCTTAAAAAAAAAACTCTAGTCGAAATTTGTCGGAGGACAAAAATCATCCCTAGGATTACATTCCGTCCCTTTATTCGAAAGATATAACAACTAGACTGCTTTGATTTCTTGAATGTGTCTATATCAATTTCTTTCAGCATTTTTTGATATTTCGCCGCTTTTTGAAGTATAATAAGATACATTTTGCTCATAGTAACGTATTATTTAGGCCAAACAGCTTGCCTCATCTCAATTTGAAAAAATCTCAGCCTGATTAAATGCCCACTCAAGCGTTCATAGCTTGAACTATATCGAGCGTTAATTGTCCTTTTAACTGCAATCAAAATGAGTCTCAATTCGGAGGCAAAGGTTACACACAGCGAGTACAAAAGAAAAAAGTAGCTTCATTGATTGAAATTAGAAAAGATAGAATTCAGTCTCGAATGAGTAAGACTTTGCTACGTATGGGTTTGGAATTTGCGACCTCAAGAATTGGAGTCTCTAACTCTGCCCTTTCAACCACGAACGGTTAATAACCAGCATTAACTAGTCACAAATAAAGCAGCTATATATGCTAACAAATTGCCAATAATAGGTAGCAAAAGTGGCACCAAATACAAATGGACGCAATTTCGCAAGTAATGCTTTGGAATATAACAAACTGAAAGTATCCACACTAATTTTGCATGTATTAAATTGGAAACCATAAAACCACATAATGTATAAATTATGAATTTAAAAAACTGCGAGATATATTGAGTTAGAAAATGTCTGAAATCGAGTTTTTATTATTGTTGTGTTGTTTGAACCAAAAAGTTTTTTTCGGTTCTACTCATGAATCGAAAATGTATCAACTGTGTTAACTTATTAGTATTCGAATGTCAACGGACATGCTATCAAAAATTCGTAACGGTGCCCCAAAGTGGCACCAATATTTGCGACTTAAGTTAGAAAAAATGGTCATAGTATAACACTAACGCTCACTAAAGTTCGCTAGTGTATATATGTTAAGCAATATGAACATAGTCTGGTTGTAGAAAAAAAAACGTTTGTTCCGACTTCTGATGAAAGTGACGGAACTTTTGGGCTGTTTTTAGCCAATGTTCGACTTTTGAAATAGCAATTTTTGACGATTTTTTTTTCATTATCAGACAGCTATTGATGAGCGCAAATTTAAACATACCTTTTACCTGTGATCACAAATATGAGAATTTGAAAATTGCAATTTTGGCTAGTTTGGGATGCTGGTTGTTCTAATTAGTACGTTACTGTGCTAGATATATCTATTTTTAAATTCAATTTTTTCGTTGAAAATTTCTTTTTTTTTTTTCAATCAAACACTACTGCATAGATGTTAAAGGGCAGTCAGGGCGTCATACTGATACCAACAGTATTGTAAAAAAATGTGTTTTTCAAGCTGTTCATAGAGTCATAACTGAGTAAAATTTGATGAAAAAATAAGCACAGTAATATAATTACACTCGCAGCAACATTACTAGCAATTTAAAAGTGACAGATTTTAACAGATAGGACAGTGCGTATGTCAAAAAAGACTGGGAGGCTTCAATTTGTTTAGCGAATGAAACCAATGCCTGCGGAAATAAAAGAGCGAGGAGGGACGCTGCTACTCTGGGCCACGGGGAGCACTTCGAGGAGTCTATCATCACAGCCCCCACCCCCATCATCATTCGGGAGAAGAGGGGGGCAGTGGAACCACTCAGCAGTGAGTCAATTTTTGCCATTCTTGTAGAGTGAGTGATTGGTTGACAATCACACTTACAGAGAAGCGGTTGAAAGAATTCGATCGATTCTTCATTGATCAAAAAATTGGTATTTACATTACAGATACATGTTGCCGAAAGAAAAGATTCTTTTTTTTTCAAATATGTTTACTTTTGGAGAACTCTTGGTTTTAGTCTTTCGTTCAAAAATACCTCCTCTCTTGAAAGGTTACCGAAAGAAAAGATTCTTTTTTTTTCAAATATGTTTACTTTTGGAGAACTCTTGGTTTTAGTCTTTCGTTCAAAAATACCTCCTCTCTTGAAAGGTTACCGAAAGAAAAGATTCTTGTTTTTTCAAATATGTTTACTTTTGGAGAACTCTTGGTTTTAGTCTTTCGTTCAAAAATACCTCCTCTCTTGAAAGGTTACCGAAAGAAAATATTCTTTTTTTTTCAAATATGTTTACTTTTGGAGAACTCTCGGTTTTAGTCTTTCGTTCGTTTCCAGTACATAAATTTCACTACGAATTTCAAAAACCGCTTTTTACACAGTTATCTAACTTTATCATTTTAAGGTTTTGTTTGATACATCCAACTATTTATCTGCCTTGCCTAGCTAACCAAAGTTGTTTGCCTAAGAGCTCAGTGAGTCCTGTAAGAAGCACTTCTTAGAAATGTTTTACGAAGTTATGAACCATTTTACGGAAACACTTCGAAAAATTATCTCATTTCCGGTTGTTTTCAAATCAGACCATGCGTATGGTTTTCGACAATTTAGGAGCCTTCTTAGCATGTTAAGCATTTTTTCATTAATTAGTATCTATCATACATGGTTACTTATCATGTATGAGTTCGAACTTATCATGTCTGACTGTTTCTCGATTTAGTCGCGAGAGGGCCTATCCACATGCAGCAGCAGCCGCTAGAGGGCGCTCGAATGGCAGCCGGCATGTTCAGTCTGTTCGCCACCACTATGCTACTCTCCATGCTGGTGGTAGTCTACAAAGCATACAAGCTCAGACACAACTACTACGCTGTCAAGGGATACATGAACAGGGATACCACCTCTAATACAAACAACCACAACTGAGCAGAACGGAAAAACCATATCATACATACACCATCAAAATGAGACCATACAAGGATGAAAGAACACTATAAATCTCCCAAAAGTGAGACCATAACTAAACGAAAGACCATACATCTTCCTTCCGAGTGAGACCATGAAAAGACATCAGATAGTTTGATCATAATTAAACAACAATAATTTCATCGGGTTCTTTTGGCGATTCAAGCCACTGTAATCTTAAATGCTATCCGTTTAATGATGTTAATTAATTGACTGCGCAATTATATATAGAGAAAAAAAACAGTTCCGTGGAAGCATTCACCATACAGTGACGCTCTAATTCCAACAAGATTTTAAAAAATGTGATGTAAAGAGATACATCAAAGTTGATGCCAGTCAAATAATTTCATCCTTCATTTTTATATTCAATTTATACAGGAAAATTTTGATTTGTACATAGTAACTGTAAATAAAAAATTTACGAAACAGATTTTTATTCATTCATAAAAAACATTCTTTCAATTTTTCTCCAGAATCTGCAGTATTTATCCCAGATAGTCGATAAACCTGAAAATCGATAGCTATAGCACTAAGCTTTTTCTCGCAACAGCTAAAACTTTTTTGCAGTCCAACTATGGAAAAATTCAATATATCACTCGACCTGACAATGTATTTGTGTGGTACATAATTTTGAGACAAAAAAAACTCACACGAAAACAGAATTCTTTAAATAAGCAGCCAAAAAAGCAAAAATATTCAATAACTTTATTTTTTTTCAAGGTAATTACTATAAGTAGGTCACTTTATTGCAGCAGTTTCAAGGAAGAGATTCAATTTAAGATAGTTTTAATTATGCCTTTCAAATGAAGGGATTAGTAGCCAGCTACACCTGCAAGAGCAAGTGTCTTGTAATAAGTAACTGTACTTTTTCCATTAAACTAAGTTTCTTGCATCATACAGTCATTTCTGAATCCAGTTCTTGGCGCTCAAGTAGAAGTGAATTTTGAATTTGAATATCTGAATTTGAAAATTTTGTAATAAGTTGAAAGCGTTCTCTTGAAAAACTTTAATTGGCGGAATATTGCTGTGTGCTTATTTTCCAATTTCCGAAGACCTCCTTTAAGGCTTTCTTTCTTACATTATAATTAAAATTCATTTTGATTTATATTAGTTGCTGGTAAACTTACGAATTACACGAATAACTTTTTTTCGTCACTTTCAATGTTACTTCGGCTTAAATATTTTCGGCTATTGTTATATCATTTTAATTATCTCATGATACGTCGTTTGAAGGGAGAAACACATTTTGATGCATTTGTAACTCGAAGTGTACGAACAAAGATGGGAGTTTCAAACTTTTTGCAGCTCAAATCTTTTTCAGGCAACTTTTTTTTCGACTATCCGAGTCGTCTCTTGGAGTCTTATATGATCAGTAGCCGCTTATAAACTTTGCTTCAATGCTAAATAGTTTTTTTTAATTTCCTCAATTGAACTTCATTCGAGACAAAAGTATATGTAAATTGTTTGATTTTTTTTTCGAATCGCAGTTTTCAGCATATTTTTTTTCGGCTAGCTGCCGTGCTTTTGTGTTGTATAGCAAGTGATGCAAAGTTCTGCTTCACCTGTGTTTGAAACTATTGTTTGTTTTGCCTTAGTTATTCTAAGAAAGGATATCCGAAGAATGCGATGGTCAACTATAGCTTCCCATTTTATAGCACTTTTGTCAACTGTCACCAATCACTTGCTTATTAGAGCAGAGCTAATTCAAGTTATATACTATAATTTATATAATGCTAACTAGCGTCAGACAAAAGAGCATTCAATTCATTGTCGTCACACGTAATGAATGATTTTCAATGGTAGCTCGTTTTTACTCGTAAGCGAAGGCGCGATACACGAGTTAGTTTTTACATGAAAAAAGAACATTTATTTTACAATGTAAATACGCATGAACTAGCGACGTGCTTTCATTCAAGCAATCAAGCAGCTATTCAAGTTAGATAATGACTAATAAATTAAAAACGATTTCTGTTAATGACGTTTCACAGGCCATATTAAAAGAAGGCGAGCTTCTACATGTAAAATTATAGATGTCTAATTGATCATCATACAAAAATCTACACTCTGGCACTTTTTGCCTCAACAAAAGCACAGTAGCATATTAATCTGGCCACGAAATATCTGAATTGCATGCATCAAACGCGTGCATTTTTCTTTGAACAAAGGCTAACAGTTGTAGTTTTTAATGATCGAAACTGATAGACTTTATCCTCAAACAAAATACAGCCGACAAGCTATCATACCTGTTTCTAAGTTGTTGTTCCGACTTTCGATACGAAAGTAACGGAATATTTGTGCTCGGGGTGGGTTTTTTTTTCTTCAGACAAATTTCAACTTTTTACCTAGCCATTTTGACGGATTTTTTTATATCATTCGAAAGGTATTTTTGTCCTGAGCTTAAATTTGAAAAGATATTTCACCTGTGATTATTTTCTGTAAAGTTATGGGGGTTTAAAGATTGCCATTTTGGCCAATTTGGGACAATTAACGCGCGATATATTTCGCGCTATTAACGCGTAAGCGGAGAGTTAATCCGTCTTAGAAATCGTTCCAAATTGGTTTAACGAAGCTTATTTGCCATAATTGATTTAATACAAGTAGCGAAATCTATCCTTTTGTACTTTATATGGCGTGTGGGGGGATGATTTAAAAAAAATTAAAAATTTTTGAAAAAAAAATTTTCATTTTGTTTTATTACTTTTAATTTTTTAATGATATTACTGCTCCATAAACCTTAATGAGCAGTCGGAACATTCAGGGCTCCGCCCTGATACGAGCAGTCTTGTTACAATATAGTTATAAAACTATGTTTCGTAAGATTTAAGTCACAAATTTCTAGGCAGGAATTTGTATTTCAAAGTGCGAGTTCGAAAACTAGGTACAATAACAATCTCGTTTCTTTTAAAAAGTTAGTAAATTATAAGCATCGCTTTTTTTGAGTGTGAACATTTCTAAGGACTTTATCGTGGAAAAACAAGTAGTAACTAACTCGACCTACAAATGAGTCTGCACTGCGTTCAATGGCACTTAAAAATGCTTAAAAAAACAAAAGTGGAAAAGTGCAACTGAACCTCAAAATGAACCTTTTTTCAATTTGTTTGCTAAACTTATCTGCAACACGTAAATTTATAAACTTCAATCACAATTGAGGTTTTCTCTGTTCTTTTTTTTCTGCAAAGCCCAAAATTGTCAAAAAATTATTAAAAAAAAACGCCTGAGGTGTGCAACATTGCTGGTCGCTATCATTGAGATAAATGGAGAACGGCAAAATGAGAATCTGCTTTTTGTTGTGCGGTAATTTGGTTAATTTTATCGTTGGAACTGAACTTGAGGTTTAGCTAAAAAAAAAAACAATTAAGTCATTTCATAATTCAGCCTACGCGGACAATAAAAGATAATCCAAGTTTCAAAATAAAGCAAAAGCAGCCATTAATCAATTTGAATTTGACTGTGTTCTATAAAATAACGCCACAACTTAAGCATATGCTTCATCGTTTAAGCTAGCTATCTTTACTGATGCCTTTAGATAGATTATTTTTGCTTAATGTTTTTTTTTCTTGAAAAAAAACTTGAACAAAACAAATGAGCATGTATCGCATTAGAGTTATGATCTGAAATCTGTAGAAAAAGTGTAAGCTTTAGGTACCAGCAAAAATTCTTCACATTGGAGCAAAACCCATTGATTACGCTATCATTGTGTGAAAAACAATTGGCTAATTTTTTAAATTTGTTAATTTTCTAAAAGCAATTAATTTTTCCTTTAATTTTTCAACACAGACAAGGCTGTACTTTGCAAACACAAGCAAAATAAGAGGCAAAAAGAGCTTCAAAATTGCAAGCAAAACTATTAAGCAATTAAAGTACATGAACTTTGTGAAATACAAAAATTGTCCTGATTCTGATCGACGACCTCCAAACATTGATTCTAGTGTATTCGCCAAGCACTTATGAGCAAATTAAACCAAGCCATTCAATTGGCATAAAACATAACCAACTGACAGTTGGAAGAGGTTAATGAACGCAAGGAAATGGAAAAAATACTGACTTAATTTTGATTGAAAAAGCTTCAACTTTTCGAATTTTTAAGAAAAAATATATGCCCTTGAAGCTCGTTGAATTCACAGACAACTAGTGATTGCTTTATTTTTGATAAAACTAAGCCAATTTGAGAAAAATGGAGCAACAGGTAAAATTTTTATTTCGCCCGGAAATCTGATAATTAAATTCCATAGTCGAAACAAGAAGTCCATCACGTTTTTCGTGACCTTTACACTTTTGCTGCTCGATAGTGGAGTTTGCCTTTCTTTTAACAAATGAAATGAACTTAAAAATAAATCAAGATTTAAATTGAGAAAAAGTTGACTTTCACTACGTTCAGTACTCTTAATTAGAAAAAGAACAGTTCATAGATACTGAAGTTGAGCACTTCTTGCAGAGCTTTAAATTCGGGTGGAAAAAAGCGCTATTGCGTCAAACATCTCTAAGTTGGCGTTATTCGGTCATTCTTAATTAAAGTTTTAAGCACCGAGTATTAGGGTTAGAATATAGCTGTCATAGTATATCAGCAGCTATCAAGAAAGAAGAAAACTCAAAATGCTCAGAAAAGCGGAGACCTTAGCCAAAAATTCAGTAATAACTTTTAGTAAATTAAAAGTGGGTCAGCCAAAAAAGGGAAGACCTATACCCCCCCCCCCCAAAAAAATCCCTTCGTGTCTTAATCATCCTTTCAGATTTCAATCAAAAGACAGATTTCAATCTCAAAAACACTCAGTTGGTCTTCTTGATCGTCACGCTATTGCCAACAAAGATAACTTCATTGTTGTAATGTATTTAAACCTCACATTCTGACACCATGCAAACAAGACCATCGTTCATCAATAATCACTTAAGCATCTTTCAGCATCGTTCAATCACTTTGTCGTACAAAAAACTCCTTGTTTTCAAGTTTTTTTCTAATTTCTGTCAATACGATGGCGAAAAAACTAATTTGCTAATGCCCACGAAGTAAATTCAAACAACTCTTGTAAAATTTCTGATGTATTAAAAATTAAAACGAACTTAAAAATCGAAAACTGTATGAGATTAAAAATATTTTAACCAACAGAATCAAAATTCATAACTAAAAATTTAAATTCAAAAAGGATTTATTTCTACAGAGCTATCATTCTTGAGTAACAATTTGTGAAGGGCTATCATTATTGAGTAGCGATTTGTGAAGCATATACCTAATAATTGACCATCATAGCCAACGCAGCTGGTTCCGGCATCCCATGTTTGTTCATGTAGTGGTTTTTCAGCACAAACTTATGCTTCGTTTTGTACTCACAACTCATACAGTCGAACGAAGTCGAATTTGGCAAATGTATCTTTTCAATGTGTCTTCGCATTGAAGTCA